TCATTTCTACATATTCATATACATACCCAAGTTAACCATACATATTTGTGATCGTCATCCTAAATCCTAAATATTATCTTACTCTAAAGCATTTAAATTATATTTCTATGTATTTTCTAATCTTTTTTTTTTTCTGTTTCTTGTCACGATCAGATGTGCCCATCAGGAAGTTGTGTGATCTTCAGACAGGGGAGCAGTGTTGCATTGTAGGGACCTTGTTTAAGCGTATGGACTTGCAGCCATCTATTCTGAGAGAGATCAGCGATGAGGTTGATACCCCACACACACACACACACACACACACACACACCTACAACTTCACCTACAACAAAATGAACTCTGCTGACGACAGGTGACACGTATCTCCTCTCGTTCTTTCTCCTCCTCCGTCAGCACAACCTGCTGCCCCAGCCGGCACGAGCCAAGTACATCAGCGACACCGACGAGCTGATTCTGGAGGACGAGCTGCAAAGGATCAAACTGGAGGGCAAAATTGACAGAGACAGATGTGTCACAGGTCAGGATGTGAAGAGGTCTTGGAGTCTCTGACTGTCACATCACCGAAGGAGCACTGCTGTGAGCATGTCTGTTGAACGTCATGGCATTTGTTTGTCTTTCAGGTAGTGTTATTGCAATATATGGAGCCGAGAGGAACGATGGGAAGTTCACGGTTGAGGACTTTTGCATGGCGGATCTTCCTCTGCAGACACCGAGACCTGCGCTCAGCTCTGACAAGTACACGTAGACCGATTATTGCCAATTATTGGATCCAATATTCAGCATATTTCTAATTACTGATATTGTTACTTTTTTTTTATCTGATTGCCGACACATTTAATTAAAGATGTTCCCGTTTTTTATACTCTAAACTCTAAATTTTATTACTTTATACTTAGTAGCTTAGCTTAGTTAGTAATATTACGTCATCTTTTATTAGTTAATGGGCTGATATGTTTTGTATTAATAATATGAATCTGCAAAGTAACATAGCAAATAAATGTAGTGGAGGAAAAACAATAACAATTAAACAATAATTGCCTCCAACATTTAGTGGAATGGAAGAGTAGTGGTAATCGGTTTCTTTGATTACTAATAATTGTTCGATCCTTAGTGTACACACATGTACACTTTTGTGGTAATAGATTCTAATGCTGTTGTCCGTCCTCATCCAGGTTTGTGCTCCTGGCCTCGGGACTTGGTCTCGGCAGTATCCAGGCCGACAGCATGCTGGGGCTGCAGTTGCTGGTTGACATGGTAACCGGTCAGCTCGGTGACCAGGGTGAGCAGAGCGGAGCAGCGACCATTTCCAGGGTCCTACTGGCTGGAAACCTCCTGAGCCAAAGCACCCAGGACAAAGACGCATCAACGAAGGTAGCGCGAACTCATCCTACCTTGACACACATTTATTTTCATCTCTTATTAGTTTCACTTGAATGTTTCACTTAAAACATTTCCCTCTCTGTCTGTCAAGCCCAAGTATCTCACTAAGAAGACTCAGGCTGGCACCGTGGAGGCAATTCGTCTGCTGGATGAGCTGCTGCTTCAGCTGGTGGTCAGTCTGCCGCTGCCTCTGTACAAACAATCAATGCATTTGGTTCTTATTTTGTGCAATATGACAATATATACTGTATACATTAGAGATTTTCTACTCACTGGGTATATCTGGTAGTATTATCATTCTCTGATTATTGGATCCATAAATATGTTTTAATTGATTTTCTAGAAGTTGACTAAATTGTGATTTATTAATATACATTTACATATAGAGTGATATAGGGTTTTATCTCTATCACCTACTCCTATTACAGTATTTATCAGATTGATATTGAAAAGAGTTACTACTGAAACAAGGGATTCGTTCCACTGGTTCTAGAGAAGTTTACGCAATGATGGGGGAAGCAACTGTTAATATATTATCCGAGTTGAGTTTTAAAGAAATAAAGCTCAGCACGATAGCGTCAGTAAATATATTTTTCAACATAAATCAGTTAGAATTATCTCAAATGTCAATATTTCAGTATTTTCAGTATTTTTTTTATCAGTGTAACTTGTATACCTTTCGGATTAAAGATATTTTTAGTATTTTCTGGCCATTTTATAGACCAAAGGAAAAAATTAAAAAAATGACTGACTGAATAATTGATAAGGAAAATAATAGTTGGATGTAGCAGCTCCAAAATGAGTTCTCTTGAATACAAAGTAAAGTTTCTAGATCATAAGCATCAGAAATAATTAATGCTAAAGATGACTTAACAGAATGTTTAATCTTCCCAAATGTTATAAACTGAACTGAACTGAACTGATGATATAGATATGTGTGTCACTGCCTCCTGTTGTTCTAGGCCTCACTGCCAGTGGATGTAATGCCGGGCCAGTATGACCCCACCAACTACACTCTCCCACAGCAGCCTCTCCACCGCTGTATGTTCCCGTTGTCCTCGGCGTACCCCACACTACAGCTGTCCTCCAACCCATACGTAGCTAACATTGATGGAGTGAGGTAAGCAACACTTTACACACCCCGTCACCATCTTTCATCCCACATTTAGAATAGGAATGGTTCTGAATACCGGAAAATTTAGATAGTTTTCCAGTTTGATTAGAAATGAACAATTATTGGGAATGATTCTATGTTGTCCTGGAAATTTTAGTTGCGAGTTTTAGCCCTAGCTGTCAGATGCTTTCAAGAACCTGTTGTTTGTGGTATTTAGTTGAATGTGGAGAGGATTGATGGGGGCCCCGCGGGTGTTTTTGTGTGATTTTTGCATAACGGTTTTAGTTCTCAGTTCAGTTGGATGATAACTGTAGTCATATTTTATTGAACAGCTAAGAGCCAAACTTGAGTAATAAGTTTTTGTTTTGTCCATAAACTTGAGCCACCGCGCGTGTTAGAATTGATTTTTGTTGCACGCCTTGCGATGAAGGAGGGAATAATTGATTGTCAATTTGTTTTATATTTTTTATTGTGAGGAGAGGGTCCTGTAATTGGTGTTGGTTGTGTTTTTTGGGTTTTTCTTTGTGCTGGGTCTGTCGTTGTTTGGCCGTCCGGCCGTGGCCTTTCATTGGGCCCGGTATCAAGAACAACTCCTGAAATTGTCCCGGAAAAGCATTACTTAAAAAGAGTGGGAACCCTGTTAAGGCCCAGTGTTTGTGTTTCCATGAAGGTTCCTGGGCACATCGGGCCAGAATGTCAGTGACATTCAGAAGTACAGCAGCATGGACAGTCACCTGGAAATACTGGAGGAAACGCTACGACTCAGACACCTGGCCCCTACGGCACCGGATACTCTAGGTTAGTCTGAGAAGTTGATGCAGAAAAACGCACAAACCTTCTGGTTGATATCGGTTCAAATTATTCACCCTGGTTTCTGTACATTTTGTGTCAGGTTGTTACCCGTTTTACCAAAAAGACCCATTCATCTTGGAAGAGTGTCCCCATGTTTACTTCAGTGGCAACGCTCCAACCTTTGAGTCCAAGCTCATCAAAGGTCAGTTTCCTGTCTTTCTTTAGACTTCAGGTCTGACACAATATTTACATGTATTTGCTGTTGTTTCTTCCTTATCTAATGTGCAATGTGTTTCCTCTCCTCCTACCAGGTCCTGATGGCCTGGAAGTCCTTTTGGTTACTGTTCCAGAGTTCAGCAGCACCCAAACGGCCTGCCTGGTCAATTTACGTACTCTTGAATGTGAGCCGGTCAGCTTCTCTGCCTTCTCCACTGACGACGATGAGGAAAGTGAGATGAACATCAGCCACTGACGGTCCAAATCCAAACACAGTACAACATGCTGACACTTCTCGGACACTACTGATTTCAGACTAATGTCTCCTGGCTACAGACTAATCCCATCAACACTGGGCCAAGAATCACAGTCCTTGTCAGACTGATGCTCTTCGCTATCATAAAGGTCAATGAATTGCTGTTAACCAGAAATCAGTGTTCACAAAGGTGTTAAAAAATAATGAGAAGACAAGTGTTGTGTATTAACAAGCATTTATTTGAAAAATAACTTCTACCCCAACTGGGGAAACATGACAGAAGAATCTTTGACTCTCTTACCAGCCTTGAACAAAACCTTTTGTGACTGTCCATACTGAAAAAACTATTTCTGCCATGGATGAAGACAGTGTAAATATTTCAACTTTGGTTGTCCACAATAAAAGATCTTTTCATAAAGCAAAAAGCATTCGTAAAGACTGACAAGTCCTACAAAGGCAGTGTGAACTGTCAAACTGAAGTACCATTAATTAACAGGGTCACTTTCTGTGAAGAGGCATTTTGTTGAGTAGTAGATACACTATCTTTATACAATTAATATAGTTAATATTCTGTACATTGCCATTGCTTGCGTACAACATGGCAACGAGAACTACAAGTAGAAGAGGACGGTTGCATGTTAACTGTGTGTGTTTTGGTTTAATAGTCATCAATCTTGTACTCGTAGTTATAATCCACGATGGAGTCTATGAAACCGCCGGGCGTCGAGGACTGTCCCTCCCCTATCGCCCAGTCGTACCAGGGTGTGGTGCTTTCTGTCGTGGGAATTGTGGTTGTTGTCGGTGGTAACGTCGTCGTCGATCTTAACCTCAGTAATCTCTGTTGCCGGAGGCGACGGAGGCGGGCTATCCTGAGCCTCCTCTGCCTTTCAGTGATTCCTGAGTTCTCTGTATACCCCCTGTTGCTGCCAACCACGCGCCTGTTGCCGTTAACAACTGGAGGGTGCTGTACCTTGTTGGTGCTATAGCTGAGTCGAATTGGCTTGTTGCCATGGAGGGCCATGATCTGCGGAGGAATAAAAAAAGAAAGAAACCACACTTATTAAGAACTAGAGAGACAAGTGTTAAAGGTTGGTCTGTTCAGGGTGGCGTCTTACCTGTTTAATGCGGTCCCAGTTGGACTTGGCCAGGTTGAAGCTGCAGGCGGTTGCTCCTGCCTGGTAACCCACCACACAGAGTTTGGTCACAGGGGAGAACCCTTCAGCTCGAGCCGTCACGCGGTACTCCCCCGGGTTAAGCAGCCGCCAGTAGTCCCCTGTTGGTGCTGCAGGGACAAAGAGTACGCAGACATTTTAGTTTAAAGCACAGATGGCGATATAGATTGTGTTTCGAAGCATCAGAGTTAAAACATAAGGAGACTCCGGGAGGGGAAGAGAGGAAGCGTTTCACCAGACCTGTAGTGACGTCATGGTTTATCCCCTCTACAGACACAGTGGCGTTTGCGATGGCGTTCCCCTGCTGGTCCTTCACAATGCCCCTGATGCCACGATGCACCTAGATAGAGAGGGGTAATAGTTTAAGGGGGTAAAGTAACCAGCTGCGAGTTCTCTTGTTTCCATGACTGAGTAATATTTTAATATACATGTTTTATAATATCAATACATTTGAATGAAACACTGCTTTTAATTTAATTCCCTTTAGTTGAGTAATGTTGTACAGTTATATCACTTCTTCACCATGTTCAGTACGAGGTTCTAGTATTTTCCAACAGAGAAGGCGGCAGTCAGTGTAGCATGTGACTGACCTGCTCCATGAAGATGAGCATTGCTTCTCTGTTCTTCTCCCACTCGTACGCCAACTCACTCTGATGAGGGAACTTATCACATCCCAGGAATATGGACAGCTCAAAGCAGTTTGTGTGCAGGTAGCTGAAATCATTCATACCTAGAGGTAGAGAGATTCATAAACACACGTTAACCTCACAGCCCGCACTGCTTATACTGTCCACCAGGGTGTGTTATAAATACATCCAGAAAGTTAAAATTCCTGCAAAAACATCACAAACCTACTGGCTTCTACTTACTTCCTGTGATTGGCTTCCATTTGGCCCGGTTGACGAGGCCGTGCACCCCTGTGGGAGTGTCTCCGTGGCAGGAGCCGTGGTAGTTGTGTGTCATAGTCAGGTGTGTGGAGGCGTAGGAGACAGCCAGCCACCTGAAGAGGGACTCGTCTGCAATCACACGAGGCTCATCCTCGGGCTCGGCGTACTGGTAGCCGGCGTTTCTTCCTCTGTCATCCTCTTCCTCCTCTCTGCGGCCATAACCTTGGTCGTAGCCGTGGTCGTAGCCTTGGCCATGATCGTAGCCTTGCCCATGGTCGTAGCCTTGGCCTTGCCCGTGGTCGTAGCCTTGGCCTTGGCCGTGGTCGTAGCCTTGGCCATG